AAGGTCCTTAAAAATGTCCAGCATAATTATGACCATTGTTATACGCTTGATTTATCAGTGACACGCGTGCGTCATTCCAATGGAAAATAGACGCGTTGAAATAGTTTTACAGAATTTCCAAAATTACATGAGGACATGTCGCATTAACGGCAAGTGTGATCAAACGTGCTGACGACACTGGAGCTGCATTTTTCTGATTATCGGAAGAAGACTCATTTTAACAGGAACCTAAGCCACGCGTCATCTGCGCCTCCAATTTTTGGCAGGGAATATCGTGAAGAATCTGGACTTACGCAGGCTCGTAATCTAAAATATCGCTTCACTTTAGACCTTCAACAATTGTGCCAAATAATCGAGAAAAAGGCTATCAGCAGAATACATGTTACAGCAAACTTGTGGAAACGTAGACGGACATACAGAAGTAGTTTCAAAATAGACAGATGGTAATTCTACCTCACATAACCTCGGCATCTGAGCCAACTAAAAGACACCGAAACAACATAAGGTGCACAGCTAATACAAAACTAAGAATCGATCTGTATAAGAAGCATTCCTAGAAACAAAATGGAACTGACTGTGGTATATAGGCGGGGTGCGATGATGCGACGAATGCGATAGGACACACACAGAAATGACATGAAGTCATACATCTACCTAAAGAACACTTACATGCAGTCTACCTCGGTTGGGCTGAGAGCTCTGACAAAGCGCAGCATGCAATTTTCGAAGGACGATCGTTCAATTAGCGGAGAGTTTCCGTAATCGACAGAGAATGTTAATGAGTAGGTCTTAAGGTAAAGGAGTCCCATCATATGTGGGTGCGAAGAATGTTAGTATAAGCCAAACATTTTCGATCCAGTGATATCCGCTGCATTCATAGCCTTTCAACAGTTTCGATAAACAGCACCGTTTAATGCATCACACAAGCAACACACCCCCACTCAAAGCAGATCTGTTTCTGCACTGTTTCGCTGTATTGCACGATGACATACTGATTAACGTCTGTCGTATGTTGGCTCACAAACAAGAAGTCTAAGTACTGGTGTAAACTGCTTATGCCCAAGCAGTTTGTCTAATAAAGCCAACATTTTTCTTAATCTCCACATCAACAGAATTTACTTATAGCCAAAAGAAAGTGAGCTATTCGCTGCATTTAACATTCATGATAAGTCGAATTCAAAGCTGCTGCAAGCAGTTTAATCGTCGATCTTAGTTCCTCGTTAGAACAACTGTCCTAATCACGTAAGCGACGGATCTGAACTAGGGAAGGTGAAATACAGGGAGATATTTTTGGAAAGGGCTATGTCGCTCTTAGTTTAATTATTGGACATACTGCTAAAAGCACTGAAAGAGAGAGCGAATCAGCTATTTAACTCTGACAGGATAGCGCCGTCACCGGAAATGATAAAGCTAAAATTCTTATATTGGTCACCACTATAACTTTGCTATGATCTCTTTCACTGCCCTTTTTACTTGCAGATCCGTTACCTCGGACTGATTCCTTGTAACTTTCGACGGTGTTAAGGAAGGGATTTTTGCCGAATTTCCAGCTGTGTTGAATACGAAAATAGTCTGGGGATGGACTCCGTTCCCCTGATACTTAACAGGATAATATCGCCCGCGTAGTCCCGGCCAGAAAGATATATCTTGCTCGATATCCTGAACTTCATCCTCCCAACAGAACGAGACCCTTATCTGTCAGGGTTGGCACTGCTTCGTAGGAAAGGGTAGACGGCAACAAAGGCAAACGCTGCATTTAGCAGGAGCAATTCAGATGGCATTCCTTAGATTTTAGTAACAGACACGGCTTCTGCATACATTTATTCCGAAACGACATTTAAATATTCCATAATATTTAGAGATATCCTACACTATTGTACAACGGACTGATAAGCCTTGAAGCTGAGAAAAGTAGCAAAGCATGCAAGTGAAATCGCAGCACTGCTCAATGATCATATGAAGAGCAAGCATCTGGTCGGCAGAAAAGTACTCTACCTGAAATCCTGACTGATTTCGTCTCTCATCAACAGTCTACCTCAGCTTTTACAGGATAATCAGGAAATTTCTTCTAAATCACTTCTCTTCCATTCTGATAATTAAAGTTGGAGGGCTATCACAAACCCAAAAACTCTATAAGGATTGCCGGACTGACGCCATACGCCGATCCGCCATATTCTGTTTTTTACATCATTCAGGTCCACTGATGCTGAATGCAAATGTGACTGACAGCGCAGTGTTGGAAGCAAAACTTTACCATCGCTGGTTATGCCCTTAAGAACAAATGGACAAAACAGCAAAACTTCTAACAGCGGCCCAAAGATCTAAAACACTACATCATATTTTAACTTGCATTTAACCTTCTTCTTTTAAACTTCATTGCATGCAACTAAAATTTGTCTCTAAAAGCCTAAGACTTATCCGCAAATCATTAATGCCGAGCGACGTCGCAAGTCAACAAAATGCATTCAAATTAGGAAAACGAAAACAATCAGTAAATTGATCGACGTGCAACCATCAGACTTTCGCTTACCTTTCGAACTTGTCTTTTAATGAAAGGAATTTGCTCGCATTCGATGTACTAAAACGTTTAGTTTAATAGGCTTATAACAAAAGACAACGGACTAAGGAAAGAATACTCACATTACAAAGGAGTTCGCTCCATCCAATGGCGAAAACTGTGGTAATTACAGGGGTGGTCGAATCTGCTATTTTTTTCAGCTTAAAATAGAAAACCGTTGAACCTAGTGATTTAGTGATAAAATAAAATCGAATAAGGAATTTTATGCTTTCAAGACGCTAAAAGTTTACTTTCAGGAAACTAGACTTCAGTTTAGCGGAACCAAGAACAGTCAACATGACATGTTTCTATATATGTGGTCAAATGAAACGACGCGACAGTGAGGTCAAACAGTTCGACTCTGCCAAAAATTAA